TTCAATATCAACTTGTTGCTTTAGTTTAAACAAGCCCTGGAAATAATACAAGTCACCGATGACTCAAGAGTGATACATGGTCAGATTTGCAGAGTGGCACAGCTTCTTACAGATTCCCCTAGGCCAGATCTACAGTGGTCCAAGAAAAATGTCCTGTTTCTAAACAAATCCATTTAAGTCATTCTTGTGGCAAGGGAAATAAAACTGCTCTCCACAATACGGCTTGGAGAAATTCTAGTCCATGCAAAAGTGTTAAATCATGTCACAAATAAGTTAGAAATGTAATGAGCATTTCTTACATGTTCAAAATTAAATACAAGCTTAAATACCATATCCAAGCTTATGAACCCCCTTTATTAAATTAATATATTCCAGTATTAATTTAGCAAAAATGTAAAAGGCTTCATCAGAGCATTATATTCACATATCAGATTTTCTTCATGCCCACTAACAAATGTATTACTAATTGACTGCTAACTGAAATTCCAAAAATGTGTAACTTCACTTCAGTACTTATTTAATCAGCCAATTAGCCATGAAAATTGTATTCAAATCTCTTTATATATGACGATATAGAAACATTTTTCACATATACAGTACAATATTCATTATTGAAAATTATAGATACCCTTTAAGGAATATTTAACAGCCAGACATTACAAAAAGAGAAACAACCCTACTTCTTACCCAAATCAACAAAAAAGGTCTAAGATGGTGTTACAAACCAGTCACATTCATTTTCCAATAGTGTACCTAATATTTGCCACACGTTATGTTGGCATAAGATATAGTACACCTTCTAAAAACATACATATAAGGTATAATAAATATGTATTGGAAATAAATATAATCTCATAAATCCAAACCTTAAAACCCTTAGACTTAAAATCATACATTTTGAACAGCTACTACACTCCATTATATAAAATGGTTTGACAATACTGTCATCATTTTTTATTAATCAGACAATACTTTCTTTTCTCCTGAAGACAGGTTAGACAGCATAATAAGGCTTTTCTCAAGAAGCTTTTGATTATTTCTGCAAAAATGTGAATGTTGCATATTGCAGTGTGCAGGAGTTTTTTTTATGTCCTGACTTCAGAGACATCTTAAAACACTGAAACGTCGGTTTCAATTTTTTTAGCATTGATAATCTCAGAAGAAAAGAAATCAGACTTTGCATTAATAGTTCCAGTTTCCAATAAACGTTACTCTGTTCAAATCAGTTAAAGTTAGTATCTGACTGGGTATGGGGTCCACAGACGTAGGTCTACCATTAAGAGTAATTTACTACTTACGAGTAATTTACTACTATTTAGAGTAAGTATAGGTATATGGGGCTAGAATTAGAATTAGGCTTAGTGAACAGACTAGAGTTAGCCAAACAAAGACTACAACTTAAAAAAGCTATTTATCACATAGTTTGTGTAACATTTTACTTCTTCATTCTTCACTTCTTGAGTTTCCTTGTTTTCATATTTAGCTGAAACAGTTCCATATAATTGTCCAAATAGTGAACAATGTCTGTGTTCTACAAATGTATTGTGTGAACAGCACTACAGTTTGCACTTAGCTAAATAAGAAGATCACAGTACCATTGTATACTGTGATAAGTACTCATGGCCATGTTTGAATAGCACACTACTATCTATCCCCATGCCTGAAACTAATACAATTCTGTGGCCATGGTATTTTGCCTAATTTACATATGGCAGCACAAATACACATTAGCATAATCAGATATTACCAGACAAAATGTAATTGTTTCTTATAAAGAATTGAATCCCAAGGGTGTGCATCAGATCAAAGAATACTTAGGACTTTCAGTAATTCTAAGGTCAAAGCTCAGTTGATTGTCTTATTAACATTACAAAGAAAGTTATCAGTATGACCGCCGAAAAGCATCTTCCATCTTTTTATCACAATCCTTATTAGCAAATTAATTTTCCCATGTTTCCCAACCCTCAACCCACAGTCAGGAGTTTCACATTAGATTAATTAAGTTAACCAAAACTGTATATTAAAAATCTATATTTAATAATGTGCTGCATCTGTAAAATTAAGTATTAAGCATGTAATATTTTCAAAAATGACACTGGATGGATATGGACTGTGTTACCCAAATTGTTAGAGGAGCCTTCAGGAAAGAAAATTGTTTATGATTACAGTGAAACTTTGCCAAAATAATTTTTAGTATTGAGATGGAAAGCTACGATTTCTAGAATTACAGTCTAGATATGAAAATAATGAGGTGGAGAACAGGAACAGAATAGACACAGACAACACCTGGATCTCTGAACAAAATCACATTTTTTATACCGTTAACATATGATTGAAAACCTGTAAAAGAATAAATTGAAGTAGTTCAAGTACAGTAGGTAGCGGTGTCAGCATGTGTAGGCTACAAAGCAACAAGTAAAGGTTTATTCCATGCTGAAAAGAGAAGAAATAGAACACCTTCTTTGAACAAGGTTCCACAGCCAAAATGATGTGTTTCTTGTCTTCTCTTTTCAGCCTGGAATGATCCTTTACTTGTTCCTTACAACAATAAATGTTGACCATGAATAACCTCATGCACCTCTTTATATGTGTTGAAATGCTGCAGATCTTTTAGAAACCTAGAAATGTCAAATAGCTGCTTGGACCATAAAAGTATGCAACAGCCAAGTAATTTGGTCAACAGAACAAAAATGTATATCTTTAAATGGCTTGGCTCAACTGAAGTATATGCTATATTCCGATTCACAAATGTAAAATGCATATTGTTTATAAATTGATTATTTGAGGATTTCTCAAGCATAATGACAGGGAACAATGAACTTTTAATATTACTTAATTTTTTAATGAATTGATATTCTTTTAGGATAAACATGCGATTGATCATTAATGAAGGTTAATTTGGGTTATTAACACTTAATTTTCAGTTTACTGTATATAACACATATTCAAGAATATAAGCAGCCTTTAAAATGCCTTAAATGGAGTGATACTCAAAACTGTTACAGCAATCTCAGTATCGATATCAAAGTTAAAACAAATATGAGAATATTAGTATAACACAGTGTATTTATATCGATTTCTGCAAATTATGGATCACGTTCGTCCAAGAGAGTTTATCATGTTGTTCTGAGAGTATTCATGACAGTGAAAAATTCTCCATAGAGAATTGTGTCAGTCTTAAAATGTCAGTGCATTAAAATTCAAAACACTTTGGACTTCAAGCAACATTAATAAACTGGACACAAGTAAGAAAAAATATATCTGGAGTTGAATATAAAAAGGGTAACTACAGAAGCGTACACTGCGATAGATCACTCATTTTTCCAAGCAATCAGATAAAGACAACACACTGGTAATACCTAATAAGAAAATAAAAAAGGTGAAGATAAGAATGTTTTTCTTGGTGTCTTGAGTAGCAGAAACAGTGCTGATCACAGGATTGGACCTTGTTACAACATATCAGTACAAAAAACACACAAACTTACCCTCTAATTAGCACATGAATTTGCCATTTTTCTACGGAGTGAAAAGATATAAACTCAAAATATATACATTCAATTACAAGGCTCAAAATAGCCTTCAAAAAACAAACTCACTTTTTCTGCAAAAAGCTTCTCTAAGAAGCTCAATTACTTTATAGTTTTAAACCAAGTTCAGCTTCCCGAAGGTGTACCATTACATTAAAAGGTTTCTGAAAGTCTTATTACATTTTGCAAATGCAAATAAGTATACCATGTCAGTGATCACATTTAATTTTTTCTTTTTTATATATATTTTCATGCATACAGATTTCTTTATACCAAGGAATGTATTACAAATTTACAAAAAAATGTAGTCACGAATCCATTTTTTTTTCTTGTTAAAACAGCTGTTAAATTTAAGGTCATGCTGTAATAATTAATGCTTACATTCCGAACCAGCAGAGGCATATAACCACATTTCCCTAAATGTGTATTTTTCTAAATATCAAATATCTGCTAATATGGAACAATTAAAGGTTTATTCCATGCCGAAAAGAAGACACAAAGTTCAGTGTAGAGCCTTCTTCATAACAGCAAACAGATGTGTGTCACACACCTGAAGAAGGCTCCACAGCCGAAACTTAGTGTCTCTTTTCTTTTCAGCATGGAATAAACCATTACTTGTTCATTTGAAGCCTACACATGCTGATGTAGCTACCGGTTTGAACTTCTTCTGCCTGCTAATATGTCAGTCCATTCAGTCTGACAGACGGATATCCATTTACAATAATGGACAGTGATGGTCCTCCTGTCTTCTTCTCTTTAAGCTGTCTTCCAATCTAAGAAGAAAACATTCTGTAAAACCTAAAATGCGATGTGATGTTTGGCTTAATCCTAAACTCTTTAGATAATTTATCCATTTACTCTTGCACTCCTTATTATTATAGTACAAAAAAAACATTTCATGTTGCTGAATTGATTTCAATCAGATGTTGCCTGAATTTATGTGATACATCTCTCTACTTAAGAGAGTAAGAGTAAGAGATTTAAAGTACTGAAGGTACTGAAAACATTGAGAGCTTTGTGAATCTATAAACGGATATCAATCCCACTGATGGATTACAGTACTTTCAGTCTTTCTTGTGTAGCTAAGAGATTTGAGCAACTTATTTAAGGAGTATAAAAAGGGCTTATCGCAAATATATTAGTTTATCTGAATGTTTCCTGCACTTTAAAGTATTAAAATCAAGACACAGCGAGAGATGATATGGATGAGAACATTTAGCTGTGGCCTTGTCAACATTTCAACTAACGCTTATGTGTAGATATTCCTTACTAATGGGAATCACTACAAATATTAACAAGAAGTTGATCATTGCTGCTCACAAAGTATGACCAAGACTTTTAAAATGTGATACTTTTGAGTCACATTTGTTTTTCAGTGACTCCACATTCTTTATAACTTTCAATGGTTGATCTTGTGTTTTGTTAACATATTACACTTTTTTAATGTAAGTTTTATTTTATGTTGTATTCTAGGCAGGTGTTACCAATTTCCTTTTTACCTGGGCAGCAGAGGGAGTGTCATGATGGAACTGGGTTTGCTTAGAAATGAGTCCCAGGAAAACACTTCTCTCTCCTCTTCCTCCTTCGCTGGTCTGGACCTCCTGTTTGACCTGAAGCCTGTTTTCATACCGCTGTATGCATTGCTGGTGCTGGTTGCCTGCTGTGGGAACCTCCTGCTCATCGTGCTCATTGCCATTAATAGGAAGCTGCACAGCACCACCAATTTCCTCATCGGGAACCTGGCGCTCGCTGACCTGGTCATGTGTCTCTTCTGCGTCCCGCTCACTGCCTCCTACGCCTTTGAGCTGCACGGCTGGCTTTATGGGAGCTTCATGTGTCATTTTGTCATGCTCATGCAGTCCACCACCGTGTTTGTGGCCGTGCTGTCCCTCACTGCCATTGCAGTGGATCGCTACGTGGTTGTGGCGTATCCCATTCGAAGACGAATTGGCTGGCGCTGCTGCATCTATTTGGTTGGTACGATATGGCTTTGCTCCTTGGCCCTCTCGTCTCCAGCCTTTCTGCACACCAGCTACCTAGATCTGAGCACTACAGGATACACCATGGCAATCTGTGAGGAGTTCTGGAGAGACCAAGAACAGCAAAGGCTGATCTACTCCTGTTTTGTACTCCTGCTGTCCTACTTTATCCCTCTCTCTGCAGTCTCTATCTCTTACTGTGCCATCTCCAACCATCTGCGCAAACGGAGCATGCCAGGGGCTGCTGTAGCAGCCTCCTCTAACCGAGAGAAGTGGGCGCACAAGAAACACAAGACCTTCCGACTCCTGCTGGTGTCTGTGCTCTGCTTTGCTTTCTCCTGGCTCCCCCTGCAAGTGGTTAATCTCATCAGGGATCTGGATTCAGACTTCACCATTCTGGGGAAGAATTACATCAATGTGATCCAAGTCTCCTGCCATCTGGTGGCCATGAGCTCTGCCTGCTACAACCCTTTCATCTATGCCTCGCTGCACGATAAGTTCCGCTTCTACCTGGGAAGATATTTCTACCCACGCCAGCGGCACAGCGGAGGGAGCAGTGTCCACACCTCCCAGCGCATCCCACGTGTCCACACGTGCTCCACCCTAGCAGACATACCGATGGTCATCACAGACAAGCTGGTACTGGAGGGACGCTTCTCATTTAACTAGAGCCTCCACCCCAGCAAAAACCAGCCATCTGGGTTAACCACTTACCACCTCTACAACACTTTTATTGAAAGAATTGTAAAGGGTTAAAAATAATCGAAAAATTTGAAAACATTACAAAGGAGACTTTTTGTGATATTCTGATGGCTTCAAAGCTCAAGAAACGTTTAGGTCAAAATTCTTTTGAGATGCGCTGTGCATTCCAAGCTGAGACAGGAGCCGAATGATTTTTCATGAAATGCTGAATACCAGTAATTGAAAATTCTGTTTCTGCATCTCTCATTGTTGTGGCTAATAGCCTGAACATTCAAGAGCAGCAGTGAGAGGAAAAGCCAGTATTGACTGCAGGAAGCAAAGTGGTGAGGCAACTGACCCAAGCTGACTTTACTGGAAGGAAACTGAGGACCTTAACAGCTCAGTGTGAAACCTATAGGAAAAACATTGAACTACTGTGACAATTTAAAAGAGAATGACGCAAGCTTTTAAGGACAGAATTTCAGGTTAGTCAATCACAGTGTTGTGCTCCGACACGTATACTGTGCGTATTTTGATTGGATCTCAGAAAATGTAATGTGGGATGTTACTTGTTAAAAGCAAATTGTGCCTTATTAATTACAAATGAGTGTATTCTACAGTGCAAAGCATAAGAAAAATGAGTGCAAACAATGATTAAAGGACAGTTTAACAATTAATTATATTAAGCGTTATTAGTGTAATTGACATTTATAAGTGTGCTAGTAAGTGTGCTACCACAACAATTGCAACCATAGGCTATAGGAAATTGGTTTAATCTGTACATCTCTTATCACAATCAGCCTGTGACACACAACACTAGGTATACACAACCAGCTGTTTACCATGTTTCTGTTGTCCAGCTTTCTAACATGATTCTAACTTGTCTGTTGTATTAAGATGCAACATCTTAATACTGTCTTATTTATCATGACTACAGGACCACTGTACTTAAAATATTTAGCATCCAATACAAGAATACTTAGACCAAAAGTGCAAAACACTACATATCATCTACAGCTAAAGATGCTATTTAAAAAAAGTTAAATAATTCACAGATGTATTAGGATTGTTAAATTGTAGACAATCCCGTAAAGCAAAGAATAGCAAAAAAGATCAATTTGAAAGCTAATTATTTGCCTATATTATTCAAAAGCACACAGTCAAAGTTTCTAGAAATAAATTGGTATCTCTACCAGGAACTAAATTCCAGATGTGTTTACAACCAACTATCCAAGTTCAACAGTCAAATTGTAATTATGAATTTACAATAAAATTTGAAACAAACTTATCTAGCTGAAAATGTTTCAGTGTGTCCTCTAGTGTATTTTAGTGCTTGGTTCATTGTATTATGTACAAGTTTAACTACTTTAGGAAAAATAGTTTGAGCACTCTGGTACTTATACTTTTCTGTTTTACTAAAGGTATGCTAAACAGAAAACATTTAATTTGAATGCAGATCTTGTAAAAAAAACAACACAAAACTCAATGGGAACTTTCTCAATTATAATTGTACTTTCCATGGATATTGTTGTGTGAATGTGAACGGGTAGCTTTACCATTTTTATACAGCAAGAAAGTACAAATTACATCACTGGGGGTGAGTGTGGTTAGGAGGGTACCGGAATTGGCCAATTTAGGAAAAACTGTGAATGTCTTGATCATTAGTACAGATACGAAAACCTGAATCATGACAAAATCATTATTTTTTCTCTGGGGTCAACTTGGTTTACCTCTGGTTTTCAATTTGTGACAACCATATATGATCTTTAAATTGAACACCACTTTAAGATGCAAGGTCATTACAGGTTATTTTGCCATGGTGCACATCTTTCTAACTTGTGGAGAAAGCCTTATTTAGCCACACATGCTGTTTTTACTAGGTTTGTTTCCTTTCTCTCAGTTTGGAAAATGGATGTAAAGTCCTCAGATCTCTAGCAGACTTTGAAGAGCCACTCAATGTGCAAGAGCATGCAATTAATTACTAAATCAATCTTCTCCGCCTACAGATGAAATATAATTAGCTATGTGGAAACAACAATACTTATAAGGTTTTTAACTATTGCATATTCTGATCCTCAAAAATAATGGAACACTCATGCAAACTGATTTAATCAAATCCAAATTCAGGAAGGTCTCCCTCACCTCTGCTGCACTAACTCGGAATTCTCTACGATATATGTCCTTCCTCCACTCCATCCCCAAATTCATTGTGGAACAAAACTTCTGGATTGCAGGAATAATAACCTGGTTGACTCAAGCACTTTGCCAATGTATCACTGAGCAGTAAGGTTGCCCTCTATCTGCATTGTTGGGGCCTTGTTGTGTTATAGGCATGATCACACTTTCACTGCCTCACCTGTTCTCATGAGCAGTGGAACAAGAAAAAAGACACACAATTTCTTTAAAAAACAGGTGTGCAGTGTTCAAATGCATTGATAAGAATTCTGTATAAATAGATGTTCAAAAAGACAATAAAATACAACCATCCCCCTTTTGAGTGATGAAGATTGCATGGTCACTGTTTGTAAGATTGAAGACAGCCTCTCTGTATGAGGAGTGGACCAGAGAATAAGATATTCTGTTTCAATAATCAGGCCACATCCTTGAAGGCAAAGAGCCTTTGCACAGACCTAGGACTGTCATGCCATTCTCCTGCAGCATGAGGTACAGCAGGAGGAACCCCAAGAAGAAATAAATTGCATTTCAGCAGATTGACTGTATCACTGTGTCTGCATGAAAATGATCAGCATGCTTGGAGGCCGTTCAGGGCTAACATTGACAGCTGACAGTTAACATCTGTCACCATGGCAGTACACACAACAGCTAAAATGGAGTGGTGAGTGGCTTGGTCATTGATGAAAGCCACTTTACCCTTTACAGACCTGATGGAAGACAAGATGTGGGTAGATGGTTTATTTGGCAATGGTTTTAATGTGATTATTAGATCTCGGAGAACATAATGAAATTTCTTATTAACCACTCCACGTTGGATCTTGGTAACAGGGAGAAACATTACGCCTTTTAAGAACGGGTGAGAAATATCTAGTAGATTGTACAGTACATTTGTGCTTAGTGGCTGAAAGACTACCACTATCAGATCCACCATGTAATGAATTACTGCAAAATCTCAACAAAGAAGTCTAAAGAAGTTAAGAAAACAGATAAATCCTATTTAACTCTACAAAGAACTCTTTTGTTTTGACAGGTTTTTGTATACGCACATTTCGGCAGAGCTTGTGTATCTATCACCACTTGTGATAGTATCATAAAATAATTGTCAAAATTTCTCAGAGTTCTTTGAATTGTTGGAACTTGACCTGTTCCGATTCTGAAAAGGAAACGGAAAAGGCTAAATGAGCGCTAATGATTTGGCAATATGGTTCCATTAGGTTCTTTAAAGCCACACTTGCACCAAGTATTCAGAAATAGATTAACAGTTTTAACACAAATTAAATTTTCTACATCATCACATACAACTTTTTGTGTAGCAGTGAAATCACTTGGGCCTTTTCTAATCAGATTTTAATGTGTCTTGTGGTGTAAATTAACGCCCAGTGTGCCATGCTCTATGTAATATGTTCAGCTTTTGAAGAAAAAACAAATTCTGTCTGTACTAGAGGTATGATAAATAAAAACTCTGTAACCAGATCCAAGTCTCTTGTAAAGAAAACAACACACATGTAAACAATGAAACTCACTGGGAGCTTTCCTAATTTTAATTGTACTTTCCATGGAAATGACTGTATGAATATGTACGAGTATCTATACCATCCTTACTAAGAACGAAAGCATGAATAATAATAAAGCATGCCTAATATGGGTGCAGATATGAAGTTAACAGAATAAGCCATTTTAGGAAAAACTAAATGCCTTTATCACCAATACAGAAGATAGGATCTGAATCATGTGATAAAACAATCATTGTTTTTTTCACTGGGGTCAAGTTGGTTTGTTTCTATGGTGTCCAGGCTAGAACCACTGTGTTTCATCTTTATAATAAACAATTTACACACTGGGATGATATGAGTTTATTTTTCCATGCTGCATTTTTTAGCTTTGTTGTGGCAAAGCCCTTGTTCAATCACAGATGCTGTTTTTACTTGTTTTGTTTCCTTTTGCTCAGTTTGGACGTGAGTGTAAAGTGCTCAAAACTCTTAAATTAGTCTTCTCCTGCTTGCAGACCATGAAGAGCCACTCAATGTGCAAGTACATGTAATTACACCTAAATCAATCTTCTCCGCCTACAGATAAAAATATAATTAGCCATGTAGAATCGGCAAGGAATGCTCATAAGATTTTTAATTTGCACATTATCTTTCTAAAAGGAAGAGAGCAATTAGTATGCATCCCTATTCAAATGGTAAATAATGTATTTAAATGATAACAGGCAGAAATAAGGTACACAGCTAACACTAGGTTCTAACACAAGGACTGGGTTTAAGGTCTGCGTAGATCAATTTTATTTGTGAATTGTTTTTTTGTGAAATACATCATTTGTAAGCTTTAATAAATCTTGTGCAATGTCATTGGCACTAAAATGATTTTCACTGTCTTATCATTTCTCTATGTTTTAGTGCTTCTTTTGTCTTTTTCCAAAAATAAAATATTTACATGCTATAGACATGACATTCACAGCCTTGTTCTAATACATACTGGGTTATGGAAAGTAAAAAAAAAGAGACTTGGAAATAGCATTTCACTTTCGTATCTTCTCAAGTAAACAGACAATTGACAGAATAGGTCAGACATACTGTACTGTGTTAGCTATGTTGATCATAAGCTCTTAACAGGATCTGAGCTAAAAAGATTTGTAAAAAAGTCATTTAAAAACATTGAGATGCATAATCAGAGAGTTCATTACAGAGTGACCCCCAGTGACACCTGTGAAAATCTCTAAATTAGCTTCCAAGCTTATACAAAACCAATTATTAAGAATAATAACACCTCCTGCAGTTGCCTGTTGATTTTAGCAGTAATCATGAGTCCAGCTTTTAACAGGTTCAGGAAGCTGACCATGTATTGTGCCATCTCACTTAAAACAGTAGACATTGACATGGGATTATAAGCCCTGACACTGCCATCTCTCTGGATGCCAGATCATAGTACTGGAAGTATCATCCTCTTTATTTGTCAGTGTGCCACATTCTCTAGATTTTGAAAAACAGAAGAGAAGGAAAGGCCGTAGACCATGGCACTGAACACAGCTCTCCGCTGGGAGAATCGTCAAAAGGAAAGAAGGGATGTAGCTACTTTTAGTCTACATTGCAAGTACATTGTTAATTGATGGAAGAGCTGGTGATCATTTTAATCAGGCTTACTTTCAGTGTTTTGCCATTGTTTCACTGATGAGAATATTTCTCCTCGCACCCCTACAATCGAGCCGTTTTCTAAAAATGATCCTGTGGCGGCTGAAGCTGAAGAGGCTGATTGTGAAATTGCTCCGGCTGATTGAAAATGACAGCTCCGCTGCTTCTTTTCTGGCAATCTAAAAGCAGTTTAATTCCCATCAAACTCCTGCCACGTCTCTGAGAAGTTCAACCCTTTCTTTATCCAGTGAAGCAGGCCAGCAGCTAGGCTTTCAGATAAATGCAGCGATAGCATGTGAAATGTCCTTGGAAATATCAAGGGAAGTGTTAGCATTGAAAATATTAGAGCAAAAACAGGATGCTCAGGATGCTTCCCTACAAAGCCATGTTAAAAGAACACAGAATAAAAGGATATTAGATGGTTAATAAAGGCTAGTAAAGAAGGTACAATAAATTTTCAATATACAGTAAATCTAATTGTACAAGCAAACATTAAATGTGTGAAGGACACAAAGGTTAAACACATACCTGCAGAGAAAGTGATGGATACATTACCTTTTTTTAAGAAGATATTACTACCGTTTTCTTTTAGTATTTTAGTGCTATGTTTAGTACTATAGTTTTTTCATTTGAAAATTTTAGGAACACACCTGTATTAAACCTCATTTTTAATGCCTGCAGCCACAAACAATTCAAAGTTTATTTTTTTCCTTTTATTCTTTCAATGTCCCATAGTATTTAACATTTAAAAGACAACTGGTTCTAAAAACTAAAACAAGGAGGCTGTAAAAATCTGGGCGAACGGGGAGGATACTTCCCTACTGAAATCACATTAAGCAGCTTGAATAGCAGTTGATACTTCAAATCAGTTTAAATGTGTTGGATTATAATTAAACCGACATAAATGAACAGCTTGGTCTATTAGAATCCATTAAACATTGCTTTTTCATTTACATTACCATGCTATTTAGGATGTTTAATGTTGTTGAAGTGTTATTTAATTTTTCTGACATTTTTAATGTTGATTCTTAGACACTCTAAACCCAGTTTTCACTTTGCATGCTAGAGACTTAATGCATAATAGGGGAGTTTGATCATTGTAAATTAATATTGTTGTTCCTTATGCAGTGTGAATGTTTCCCCGATCCTCCCTCACTCAAGGCACTATTACAGCTTAGTAACATATCAGCTAGACAGCTCCATACTTGTTTTTTTGCCTCATTAATCATAACAATGTTGTGTCACCATGTCATCAGAGAGTGAATACAAAACCAGACATTTTACACATCACATGTGCATTTACAGGCTGAAAACCAAGAATTTAGAATATTTTAAGGACTTAAAAACAGGGAAATTCTCTATGGAAATTCTATAAATCCTTATTCATGAATATTTTAATTTGTTTAATGGTGAATCAGTTAACAGTGAAGATGATAATGGTGATGTACAGATACACAATTTTTAGAGTGATGAATGAACGTTCATGTTTTCGACCCATATCTTTGGTTAGTATGAGTTTTAAAACTTAAATATCGTTGGTTGACTTTATCATTAACCCACCTGCATGAGTCTGAACACTCCACACTAGCAGTTCTCTCTAAGTGGGAGCTGATTGGAAAGTAATATTCTCTATATTGGAGTTCAGCAAGAGCTATGCTTGGATAAGAGCTCAGCTCATCCGTCCTTGTGAAAATGAGACAGAGAAATGGTTTTGTTCTCATAGCCTGATCTCTAAAAAGATGTATTTTTCTCTATGGTGCCTTTTAACATTAATACCTAGAAAAGCAAAATCAGGCAATTTGAAACAACATGTGGATAAACACATTTTGGAGTCAAATGGTGTAATTGAACAGACAGATTACCAAAGCCTGAGAAAAGTATATACATGAAACCCTGACTATGAGAAAAAAAGATTTTACTGCCATGCAGAGTTCTAAAATCAGTCTGTTTCTGTAAAGTTGATTTTTCCTTAAAGCAACATTTAATAAAAAAGGGATCCAACCAGGAAAGAAGAAAATGAATTGCTCATTACAGTACCTGGAATTTTAATATGCTAATACCTGCACTGTATATGGAATGGGAAATAGTTTTTCATTTTTTTCATAGATTCACAAGGAATAACAACTGTCAACAATTAATGGTATTGAAGAGGTTTATTGAATATTTAGTTTTAGTAAGATAAGGTCAGATTTGGCTTAACCTTCAGGGCTGAGGGCCAGCCTCCTGGCTATAGGATGAAGAAGCTTGGACCCTCATTCCTAGAGAAGACTTAACCAAGGGAAGCTACAAAGGTGGATATGTGATGCAGGAGATGATTGAGAAGGAGAAAATTCTCACATACAGTATTGATAGTGTTTTATTTAGGAAATGATGGGTAAGAGTGAATGTAGCTGCTGTTCATTCTACTTTAATGAACTAAAATTGTACTGTGCATCATCAATTTCTAAAACCTGTGACTGATAACTAATATTGGCTACTGGAATAATGTATGCATGCATATTGGCTCAGCATTTTCTGAAACATTTGCACATAATGAAATCTTATTGTGCAGAATTGATTTTCTCCCTGAGCTGCACTTTTCAGTAGGTTAAAGCAAAATTTTGTAAGCACTGATATAACGAATTGTGGAAACTGAATTAACTAATTTTACAGTTAAATATTTCAGTTCGAAACACAACTGCATTGAATCTGAGCTCTGAGCTCAACTTCATCAAGAGACAGCACTGTCACCTTAAAGGATCAATAGCAAAATATTTTATATTTGATAGCTGTAACTGCATATAACCAAGAGAAGGTAAAATATCCCTCCTTGTAGATGTCCTGATCTAGCCCTTAACCATGCAATATTCTTTCAGAGCAGTTCTCAATTTAAGAAATATAGGTAGATATTGCAGTGAATAAAGGCCTCATGTCTACAAGCAATCTCACATATCCTCTTTATTCTATAGCTTAAGTCACTATAACAGGCAATAGGGAGGGTAAGTTTTAGATATTTATATTTAATTTTCTACCTCATGCACCAATGCACTGATTGTAAGAAAAACTACAGCTCTACATAGCATGTTATCCTGGTGTCCAGGCAATTTTTTACATGCTGCTTCTTTTGAATAGTGGCTATTATGAGGCAAATAAATTGAAAAAAAAAAAACGCTCAACAGTGCTATCAAATTAGAAGTCTCAGCATCTCATGTTCCTCGATGAAAATACAAACCAACTGCCAATTGCAATTTAGGAATTATTGTAATATGAAAGCTCTCAGAAGCACTTCTTAAGAATGCTCTTGTTCTAATGAAATGTTGTTGATAATATACTTAACAGTGGGAGGAGGGTTTATACATTTGTGTTTGTATGTTGGAGCATACAAACACAAATGCACTAAAAGTTACAAAAGCCTAAAGTTACAAGAGTAATTCTAATTAAGACCGATGGTAATGGAAACCCATTAGTCAAATTTAAAGAAATTACAATGAGGAAGAATTGGCAATTAGAAAATTGTGGCAATTATTCTGTTACATACGAATGCAGGAAAATTCTGTGCATTTTTTCTACAAGTTTTTATCTTCTTCCATGAAGATTAAGGCATAGTGACAAGGCATTCACAGAGACAGTTATTATTAAATCTTATTCCAGCTGAAATAGAAAAATGTGTGTTTGCTTTATAAAATATGTTCAAGGATAAGAAATGTCTGAATGCCTGTTGTTGCTTATTTCA